CCCCAAAACCCCAAAACCCCAAAACCCCATTGAGCAAAAATAAATTTATTTAGTAGATAATAAGCTTCCATCTTGAATTAATAAATATTAAAATATGGAAGAAGGTTTCCTTTAAAGAGTATAATCTTTTTAAGAAAAGAAAAAATATGCTTTTACTCAAGTAAATTCCTCGTTTCTATACACTCCAAACTAACTATATAGTAATTTGAAGCCACATATATCTAACTCATTAGAGATTTAGGATTTCAACCCATTAGAGGAACACAGTATCCAAAAATTTTAGGAGGCACAGCTTTCTTATAGGCTCTATTTAAATAAAATGGATTCTAAAATATTAAACTATGTATCTGAGCAAAAAATAAAAATTAAGGGGATATTTAATGATTATTCAATTGACACAATCAGTGAAGAATTATTCTAAGATTTTTAACAGTACAATCCTTCTTGCAATTAAGATTAAGATGCTTACATAAATTCGAAAAATCAAGATAGTAATTAACTTAACGTTAGTCTCAATTAATGTACCTAACTGGGTATATTTAAATTAATGTCTAACAGCAGTAATGATGGAAAAATTAATCTTATAAATATTCTACAAAGACATATCGCTATAATAAACCACAAGTACAGTTAAGATCCTGAATCAGAATAAGATGTTTTCGAATTTTCTGTTGACCAAAACCCTACTCAAAAAATTCTAGAAAATTAAAAGCTTAATTACTAATAAGAAGAAGAACAGCAAGGAAATTTACCCTAGAACATAAACCCTGTTAATTATGAAATACTACCAAATACTAAGGAAATAACTTTAAACAATATTTGTGAAGAACAGGGTTAAGAATTAATCAAATTTAATCTTGATGATAATAATATCCATGGCAACTATGTCTAGCCTTAACTTAGAGCTTTAGAATAAAATGAATAAATCATCAAGATTAATAACTTAAATTATCTTAAAATAATGACTCTGACAAAAGAAAAAAAGAAAAGTGCAACAAAATTTAAGATAATTTAAGAAACCCGATAAAGGTCCGCTCTTTGATATCAAAATTAGAGATCTATGACTATATAGTTCTCTCTCAGTTCTATATATGTATTTAGATTTTCTAGCTACTTTGATATTTTAAAAAAAAGAACGGACCAGTAAGGGTTTCTTAATATGTTAATAATGCTTTGGGTTGGTCTGAATTCTACTAAATTTGTGAGAATAGCATTTAAAAAAGATCAATATGCTTAAACTCACTATAAGTAAGAAATAAAAGTTTTGAAAAACTCACATAATTGTGGAGAGAGAGTGTTGAAGGAATATAAGACTGTGCTAAATTAACTGAAAATTAAAAAAGAATACTGTGATATCAGTATAATACAAGTTAAATCAGCTAAATGTCTCAAAAGATTTAAGAGAAATCTCCCCTTAACTACATCTTCTCTACAATTAGTAGAGTGTTTCAATTTAACAGCCCCATTATTACAACCATTCCTTCTTATTAGAGTATCAAGTATTTTAAGAAGAAGGATATAAATAAATTTCTCTGTAAATGCCACCAATTACTACTTCCCATAATAATAATAATCATTGAGAAAACTTCAGTCTTGCAAAAGAAACTATGGAGATTCTCAATAAACTAATATAACTCCAATGTAAATATCAAACTCAACTATAATGACATGAAAGTCAAAATGGTTTAACTGTGAGAGATTTCACAGTTTTCATGAAATTGCAATTAACTAACAATTATCATGAATTAAATACGTTTACTAATAATTTCATCTACTCTCTAAGATTCAATCCTCTAGGGGTTTTGGGGTTTTGGGGTTTTGGGGAGATCGGAAGAGCACA